CCAAACGACCCAGGCATCTCCCCCAACCCCTCATTCCCCTGCAAAACAGCAAACACCAACGGCGGCGCCCCAATCGCCACCGTCACCAGCGCGGACAGCAGCAGCGCATCAAACGCCTGCATCGGCCGCGAGAGATGGAGCGGGGTATGGTAAAACTCCGGCCGCGAGGGGGGCACCATGGACAGGTCGACGAAGTAGAACATGACGCCGGCGGCGAAGTAGAGGTTTGAAGGGGAGAGGGCGCGGGAGATGGAGCGGACGGGTCCGGCGGTTGGGGGCGGCGGGGAGGGTGAGGGGATGGGGATGTCGGTTGGTATTGGTGTGGGTGGTGGCATTGGCGTCATGACCGGCGCCTGTGTCTGTTCTTGTTGTTCCTGCTGCTGCTGTCGATGATGATACGCCCCTAATAACCGCCTATATGCATTAAACGCCTTGGCCGCGTCCGCGTCCGAGATCGGCGCCGTCTTCCTGCCCACTTCCCATAGCAGCTTCTCGCCCCCGTTCGCGTCCTTGAGCAGGGCCCATGTGTGCCCGATCAGCTCGCCCGCTGGGTCGTCTTCTTCCGTGTTGGTGGGGTCGCGCAGGCCGAATTTGATCTCGAGTTCGTCGCCGTCGCTGAGCATGGCGAGGAAGAGCTGGTAGAGTAAGGGTTGTGGGCCGCTGGGGCATTTGAGGATGAATTCGTCCGCGTAGTCGAGAGCGCCGATGCGGGTGGTGAAGATGCGGCCGGAGGCGTTTTCAATTGCTTCCCGTGCGGGTGCACCGGGGATGAAGGACATGCGGTCCATGGGGGAGTGTTTATATTGTATATTAGAGAGAATTGCAGGCCGGAGGGCAGCGTATTGCTCGAGGAACTTGCTTTTTGGTAGCAATCCTTGGTAGCTGGCTAGGGACGGGTTGAAATATTAAACGGGATCGGGAAATAAGAGACAGCATGGATTGTAATGAAGAGAGAGAGAATTGGGTATCAATTCCTCCGGTTCCTCTGTATCCTCTTTCAAACAAGACAATGCACAGCAATATCCGTCTGTCAGAGCTGTCATCGTCAAATCTGCAAGCTGCCGTAGCATCATCCATTGGTCCTCGGTGTCTCCCCAGCCTGCATGCCCCTCTCTTTCTCCTCAGCCCATTTCTTCATTCATAAACGGTAGCATCATTGTCAGGAATCGGTCCATGAGGAACCAGAGCGCATGGGCCGGGTGGGGAGGTGGGCTGGGATCCTGGACTCCCACCACATCCACACGCCCATCCCCTGGTGCAGGGTCCAGTGCAGAGTCAGGGATTCGCGCTCGTATTCCAAGGTTTCTCTCAGCTAATTGGCAAGCCGGCCGTAGCAGGAATAACAGCTGGAAAAAGAGGAGAAAAGAACCTTTTTCGACCGAAGAGGGGGAGGCGGAAACATAGACCCGTAACTAGGATCGACACACACATCAACGTCGTTCTGTGCCTAGGCGAATGTTCGTTGGCCGAAGCTACATCAACTAGCCAACCCAGCTGCGGGTTACCTGGTTCGCTCGATGCATATGTGTAGTTTAGCCTGGCTGATGCCGATATCCAACCTCGCTTGAGCACATGTCCCGGGGACCGTTGGCGGTTCCCCAAAAGCCTGGAAGCAAATGATAGCGAGCTATCCAACTTCGAAGCGAGATCACCGTTGTGCTGGCCACTGCCGAGAATCTATTTCCGGTCAGTGAGAGGCGTACGTTTGGAGCTTGAAGAAGGTGTCGTTGACAAATTTGAAGCGGGGGATGGGAGTGGTTGGGTGAAGAACAAACACTCTGACAGGCGAGTTGAGCAAATGGTCCCCCCCTGATCGTTTGGATTAGGGCGACATAGGTACATACTTGACATAAATTTACTGTCTGGATGTTTCTGATATGACAGCTGTCATTACTAGCAAAGACACTTGAATAAAAATCAAGGTTGAAATGAAGACATAATTTAAATCCAATACAGCTGGGCACTCATACATAAACAGTGCAGTAGTTTGGACATTATTAATTGACAGATACCCACCCCATTTAATTAAAAAGACAGACTGACAACTCAAGGAAGAAAGTAATATTCTCATAACTTTGCTTAGTTTCTATATGTTTTCAATCACCGACCCAGGACAGGACCCCAATAAACCCCAATCTATAATAGTCCCGCATCTAAACCCCCCAGTTACATATACAAAAAATGACAAAAAAGTTCGGCAACGGAAACAATAACCCCCCCCATAAAAAAGGTCTATCTCCCTATATACAATATAAACACAATTATTGCTCGTCCAAATTAATCCCAACAATACCAAAATGAAACCTGCCTGGATCCCCATGCCCCCGGCCAAGCCAAAGCCCAATCCCGGTCCCAATCCCATACTTTATTTACCTAACGCACCCCCCAGATACCCAACGGATCATCAACCCCCTCGCGTCCCCCATCATGGCCTCGAACCTTATCATGCTGCTCCTGAAGCCGCTTCACCCATCTCACCAGCATTCCCACCGTCACAGGTCCAATAACCGTGCACAGCATGATCGCCCATGTGACGACGAGATATATGTCGGATGCCGCCCGGGCTTCTTGGCCATCATCACCACCACCTGATCCGGCGAAGATTCCACTGCTCTCAGCTAGCGAGGAGATGAGGAAGCCGATCTCACCACGAGCCACCATGGCCATGCCAAGGATGGAGGCTGGATAGAGAGACCGGGGTCTTGGCCACTTTGAATTCAATGGCGATTCCGTCATAGCGCTGGTCTTGTTGCTGGGATCATGCTGGTCCCAATGCTGCTGATGCTGTTGCGTCCGGCCTTCTTTTACGCCACCGCTAGTTGGGATTGCTGGCGAGGATGGCGCGGCGGGCTGCCTCTCCTCAGTAGCAATGGTGGCGTCTGCTGTAGCGGCATGGCTGTTAGCACGGACATCAACGCCATCATGACCCCTCGTGATAGCAGCTCCAGACGCGGGGGTTTGCTTCTCGGCTTCTTTCGGCTTCCGCATGCACCAGTGCCATGCTGGCGAGCAAGACCGGAGCAGTCGTTTGACGGGTGTGATGGGAAAGAAAGCAGCTGTCGTGCTGCTGCTGAAATCGAGGCGGACCAGCCAGATGCCTGTTAGTAATTTTCCCATGAGCATTAGGATCGTGTAGACGATTCCGCGCCATATAATGTGGCCTTTGAACAGGTTTTTCATGGGTATTGCGAATCCGATTGAAGCCTGCAAGGTATGTTAGAAGGGGAGGGTATCAAGAGGGGTGGACGGAGAGAGAACTAACGAAGAAGAACGGTTTGAGCACCCTATCCACAACGGCGGAGTAGTATCTTTCGTAAACCTCCATCCCCGTCCAATGGCTTCTCGAGCGGACACTTGTAGGAGGTGTTATCCGCACATCATCATGATCCGTTGATGATTCATTCCCTATACAACCCGGGCTCTCTGGGCCAGACACCCGCTCCATATCATTCCGCATCACTTCCTCACCAGCATTCCCATCACCCTCCTCCTCAACCCCAGGCCCAAACCCACAATCCCACCAACTAACAAACGTCCCCGCCAAATACGCCGCGAACAACCCCGATGTCCCAGCATACACGGCCGCCGCAACAAACCCAATCAACAGCAGCGTCTGTACAATAAACGCCATATGCCCACCATCACCAAGCATCAACCACCTCCAAACCCTCCCCCTATTTCCACTCCCACTCTCCAACCTATCAACCCACCCCATCACACCCCTAACCCCCCTCCTCCCCCACTTACTCCCCAACCCCCGACACCCACCCACCAAAACCACCACACACCCCACCGACACCACCACCGGCCTAACCACCACCACCGCACTCACCCCCCCATCGCCCTCCCCACTTTTCCCACCACCAATCTCCGCAATAACCTTAACCAACACCAACCCAACAACATCATCCATCATCGCGCCCGCAGCCAACACCGTCCCCAACCTCGTCCCCACCAGCCCACTCGTACTCAGCACCGTAAACGTCGTGCCCAGACTCGTCGAGCAGAGCGCCGCGCCCGCCGCGAAGGCTTGTAAGTTGGTGATATCGCCCATGAGGCCGCGGAGGGAGAAGGAGAGGGCGATGGGGAGGAGGATGCCTGTGATCGCGACGGCGGTGGAGAGGGGGAGGTTGGCGCGGAGGGTGGGGGGGGAGGTTGAGAGGCCGCCTACGACATAATTTGCAATTTAGGTTAGCAAATTTGTAAATAGGATTCAAATCGATCATAGACCGCGAGTGGGTTATTATACATATTAGTTACACACCTTCATAAACAAGCAACACCAACCCCAAATACCCCAACTTAACCACCGCCTCCTGCAACTCAATGCTGAGCCATTGTGCGCCCGGCGCGCCCCAGGCGACGCCCACGAAGAGCTGGCCGAGCAGGCCGCAGTAGATGAGGTTGTCGAGGAAGTGGTTTATGAGGTTTAGGAGGAGGAGGAAGGTGGAGGTTATTAGGAGGGTGGGGATGGGGGGTTCGTGGTAGGGGAGGGCGGCGGGCGCGGGAGTTGGCATGGATGGTTTGATTTTTTTTTTTTTGGGTTTGGTTTGGTTTATTGTTGAGAGGGGAAGGTTGGCATGTTGAAGGGTAAAGGGGAGAAATTTTTAGAGATAGGTAGTCTCGGGGGGTAAATTTACTGATTCTGATTTTGGTCGTGGAGGACGGAAAAAGTTGAGGATGGATGAGAATGACGACAAGCTGGGCGGGTCATTGCTTGGCGCGGAGAGCTCTCCCCGCCACCAACGAACAATCCTCAGAGCCATGGACTATGGCAGCTAGATGGCAGTATGTATGGACGAGACACATGATATATATCTTCTGTTCCTCCTCTCACTCTCCTGTAGTGATAATTTCTCGTTGGCAGAGGCAAGATTTAACCTCTAGGAAGGATCCGCAATTGCAAAGGCATTTCTTTCAGACAGCATTTATATAGTCATCTTGCCAAACCGCCCCACCCAAAACAATAAAAAATATACCAAAAAGATAGCAAAAATAATTGGACAATCAGGGAATCGAACCCTGGACCACCCCCATGCAGGGCCGGGATAGGCTGAAATGCTAAGGGGGTATTATACCACTAAACCAATTGCCCATCGCGGGTGAGGGATAAGTACAACCACGTCGGGATTGGATAATTAAGTGGATAATTGGACCGAGCCATCCTCCAGTGCATAGGGAAGCTGGAGTAGAAGCCAAAAAGATATATGAAAATGAGACCAAATATCGCCAATGTATGTGTGTTTGTATGAGAGAATAGGAAGTCAAAAGAAAGCTCCTGGTATCAATTATTCATGGAGTAGGGATTTGAAATGAAAACGAAACGAAAAGCGAAATCAGGAAAGGGGAACATGCTGCATACGCCAAAACGAACAGGGCAAATAACAGTAACCATAGAAAACAGGAAGATAAAATCCAAACCAAACAAGAAACGTCACACTCAGTCGTCAGGTCGTCAATCCGTTTCGCAAGATAAAAAGGGACATCAAAACAAAAATAAAAGCCACCCATGCCTGCCATGCATTCTATGATATACCGGTGTTGAGTGGAAATCGATAATATCCTTTATGTATGAAATCGTCAATGTATTTCGTGATGATCCGAGCTCGCTTCCCTAATAGGAATATTGGTAATAGAAACGAGGGGAGATTTCGGTACAGATGAAGTAGCATCGTCATTAGATCCGACCCGCCTATGTTCCCCGGAAGTTAGACTGTGAATCATTTGGGGGACATCGTCGTCGTCGTCATCATCCTCATCTTCTTCCTCGCCATCAGTAACAGCAGGGCTTTCGAGATTTTCCAGCCCTGGACTCTTCAATACAACGGACGAGAAGTCTTCCGAGTTCGGAATACTGGAGCTGCGTCCATGGTCGCTTCTCTCATCATCCGTACCCCCAGTCGATGCGGTGTCCTTCGAGAACGACAGTCGGGGATCACGACCAAGACTAGGATCTGGTGGTTGCATCCCCACGGCTTGGGCCACCGCTGCTTCCTCCTCGGGTAGTTTGGTCGCGCTGCTCTCAGCGCTACCAGACTTATCAAACAGCCGGCCACTCTTCATTTCGCTCATGCGAAGAAGATGGTTGTAATTGCGTTTTGAGTTTGCGAGACGCTTCTTCTTCTTTTTCTCGCGCTTTGTAGAAGGACGGACGACGATGACCGGTATGGGGGATTGTTGGAGGCAATATTTCGACACGGAGCCGGGAAGTAGGCCCTGCATACCACCGAGACTGCGACCACGGGTGCCAACTATAAGGACTGCTGGTTCATAAATTTGAATCTGAAGAACAGGTTAGCAATTTAAGCCGCCATATATATCGAGAACAGGGTTATACCATTCGTTGAATGATCTCCTGCACCTTCCCAACCGCCAGCTCCATGACCAGGCTGATCGCTTTCTCATCGTGGCTATTCTTCGAGATAACTTGGTCAAGGAGTTTTTGGGCCTCCTGGCGGTATCTTCCCTCCTCCACGCTCGAGTCACTGGCAATCTTGGAGTCCTTCTCGACAACCCGCAGGCAGACTATTTCGTCGCCATCGTCGACGAGCTCGTCAATCAGCCACTCGAGGGCGAAGTCGGAGTAATCGTTCTGGTCAGTACCGCAGAGGAAAGTTCGGCTGCGCCTGCTGGCATGGTAGTCTTTGTGTTTGTAATTGAGCGTCAGCGAGAAATCGGTGGCATCGCGATTGTCAAAAGTGTCGAAAGAGACCCCGCGGTTGTAGGCGCTATTATTGTCAGAAGAGGTGGTTAGCGTAATGTCGGGATGAGACTCGTCGTGGCTATCAGAATAAGCAGACTGCATGCTGTGTGCGTGTGCGGGTGCGTGTGCGTGAGGTGTGGTGTAGTGATTGGATTGTTTGCCGCCCGCTGCATGCTCGTTGCAAGTTATGACTCGTCCCGGGCAGTCGCAGCGGAGCAGAACCAGAGCGAGGCGCAGTCCAGCCCTGATTTGCAGGAGCGGGGCACGCTAGATACATAAGCGAACCACCATGCGGGGGGTTGAAGCTTAAAATACCTAGGCTCAACGGGACGCGAACACCAGGAATTCACAGGCCACGCCTCTACAAAGGCACGCGAAGGAAAATGAGACAGATCGCCTGCAATCCTCGCTAGGGAATGAAAGCCAGATGGAGAGTGATTGATACTGGGGCTATAAACTAACCTTGGTGGCGGAGGGGACGGAATCCTGTTCAGACTACCAGGAGTCCAGTTTTTCCTCAGGCTTTCAGCTCGCCTTCTGGATAGTTCGGCATCAGACCCCGCAACGTTGAACTGGATCGACCGCCGGCGTGCCGGTAAATCACCCGGCAATGCGCTCGAGCCGTCAAAGGTAGAGACACTGGCGTCATCCTGGTGAGATGGTACTGTCCCATCAGACGCCAAGGCGGACGAGCTGGTGTCCGGAGAAGTTGTTGGAGACGGCGATTCGGACATTGAATCACGGTATCTATTCTTGGAACCGTTCGGGTGTATTATCGGTGATATTGGAACGATGTAGGATGGGAATAGAATCGAGCGTTCAAGGGATCTGGCAATGTTTCAATGTGGTATGTGATTTCAGCAAGCTGTCTGAGCGATTCTTCTCTTCTTTATCTGTAACGGCTAGCTCAACGGCAGCCGAGGCCCTTAGATATACGGGGCGGAGTGGATGGAATGATCGCGAGAAGGTATATCAATGCGGGATGCTTGGGGAGTGTGCTTCAAAAGACTACAAAGGAATAACCAGGAGTTAGAGACCAGCATCTTGCGGGGTTTGAAGGTGCATTCCTCTCCCCAGAGTCTAGGCAGGCCTATCAAAAATACAGCTCCCTCCCCATCCCTGATTGGCAAAAATAATAGTTCAGGGCAGATAAGAAACGATCCACCTACTCACCGCTCAGTGTTAAGTATCTATCCCGCGTTGTGGATAGGTTTTCGAAGTCGCAGTTAGGCTGGTAGAGGGGAGTAGTGATCCCACGACAGTCTTACAGCGTGTCAGGCACCATGAAGCTCCTTTTGGATTTGGAGCAGGATGATGGATGGCCAGACTGTCATGGTTTAGAAGTCACGGACAGGGAGCTGGCTGTAGAGGGCCCGGTTCATTCAAGTACCAGGCCAGAAGGCAATAGGGCGATGGTAATAAATGGGTAGAGGCAGGCAGACGAGCAGGGAATAGTGAGCTATGGAGTGAAACCAAAAACCTGTGAGCAACGAATAGACAGGCCCAACACGGTAGGCTGGAAGCTTGCGAGTGGAAATGGATGGGGATGGAGATGGGGAGGATGGAGATGGAGAAGAGACGAGGTTGGAACTTGGAGGCGGTGGAGGAAGAAACAAATGGAGGCAGAGCAGGCTGGCTGTGGGGAGGAGGGACAAGAAACCAAACATGTGGCATGCCGGCCCACCAAGCGAGGACATCGCAGTAACCAGCGCTGGCGGTTTGCAGCCACGTCCTCCATTTCCCTGCACTCCATTGCCGAAATACCCTCATTATCCCGCCTAATCCATATCAGGGCTAGCGTTCCCGTGCCCAGGGCGCCAAGCCAGCAAACGGAGTCGGACTAACAATGTTCCCTCACTAGCTCCCGCTTCCCGCCGTTAGTCAGCCGCTTCTCAATGTTCTCATCTAATCGTGCCTTCGCTTGCGGGCGGCTGAGTTGTCTGTAAGGGACATCATATTCTCGCGCCAGAGGTAATATTTTAACGGTTGGATCGCGTCTATACGTGATTAAGGCCTGCTGAACGCGATTCTCGATGATTTCTCGGTTATCCGGCATCGTGGTGGTTGGATATTGATGATTTAAAAAAAAACGCGTTGGAAATTGATGTTTTTGCTCTATCGGTGTTTTTGCCGTTTCGGTGTGGCGCACCTAGAAGAGGTGCAGCGCGAGGAGCTGCACGCTGAGAGGTGCTGCGGCCGCCAAGGCCCGCAAGCGAAGGCACGATTACTCCATCACAAGAATGGTTGTCGTCGCTGGTCCATAGTTCCAAAGAACCAGAATTACTATCTAGGCCAAGGGGCCATATTTGACACGTCATTGAGCTGCGAGCACTAACCTCGAGGATTGGACAGTGCGGCTGGAGTGTGTCGGGATTGCTTTCACCCTATCGTTAGGGTTGCAGCGTCCTTCCAACCACCCGCAACTGATGGGGGAGCCTTGCCCCAATATAATAATCGCATTCCGTTTCACCGTCGGTCGACATGGACTCACATCGGACAATCTTGCGCAAGGGACGAAGGAACCAAATTCTACACGTGAGGAGCAAAGCATTTGCTCTCGAGGCAGGGCAGAAAGAACAATCGAATACTCGCCGTCGACGAACCAGCCTCCTCAGAAAATACGGTCTATACAATCAGGACTCGAGACTGAACGCACCGCCAACAGATCACAGTCCTATTACCAATGTACGATACCAACGGATAATTATGTTTTAGTATGCCGCTAACAGTGACAATAACAGGCGCAAGCAACGCATGCACCCAAGCGCGAACAACGAAGTGGCGCTGAGGGGTCGCCTCACCCCTGCACCGGAAAACAACATCATTCCAATCCCATTATCGCCCATAACAATATAGCAGAAGAAATCGATCAACAAAAGTGCACTAATCAAACCTCTTACAATTCGCATACAGCGAGCGGCGCGTTGGAAAATATTGTATGATCGCTGACTATAAATCAAACTCTGGGGGTTTCAACTAACACACATTCCACAGACCAACGATCGAAAACGGAGGCGGGGTGAAGACGCACTTCAGCTTCCTTCCGGCCTCCCAAAAAGACAATTTCCGAAATCTTCTGTCTCAGCCGAACACATATCCGAGCGGCGGTTCAGCCCTATCGAGAACTGGATTCTGGAAGGTAGCTGGACTGGGAAAAACTTCGAAAAAGACGACAACACGATGCTTCCTCTAATAGCGAGAAAAAAGAAGAAGTCTACTCTTTCTCTCCGCCGCAAGCATTCCGAATCAGGTCTGGGCACCCCGAGCGACCAGCAATCCTCCCTCCGTGCATCCGAATCAGACCAACCATCGAGTGAAGAAAAGGCCCCAAAGTACGAAAACCCAAGATATCGAACAGTCCTTCAAATAAAGGGTAGCTTTATGCGCGAATC